ATGGTCATCTCAACGAGACGCTTTTCTACAATACATTGGGAAAATTCCCTTACATTTACCGGGAGTCAAAACCGCAAGCAATAGGACAGAAGGGTGAAGAATCACTTCATATTGTGTTCACTCTGTAGTGTGAACCCTTTTAAATGGGAAAGTCTTCGTCATTTGTCCTTCAGAAAAATAAATAACTTCTCCAAATTTCAATATTCAGATATCTTTCAAATGTATCCTATGTACGTAATATTGCTTCTACAACGCCTCGCGATTACAACTACTTCATTGTTTTATTTAGCGGGACATTGTAATATATAAATTACATTACCTAATATTATGCAGATAGACCAAAGATCTGTAAGCTTTGGAAATCTTTAGTAGTTAAAGCCATTGAATATCTATGTCTTTAGAACATCTAGCTGGAAATAAATAATTCGCAATAATTCTCCTAGCGTATACTATTTTCTTGGTGCAGCCCGGCACATCGCTTCCTACATAGTTTAATTATAGCGTTTACTTGAAGCAATGTTAGTGAACTCTCATCTTTATTGCTCTGTTACACGGAAATAGTCTGGAACACTGCTTGTGTAACAAATAAAACGTAGTAACAATGTGACCTCCTCCTATCCAAATTCAACCATAATACATTTTCGAGTCGAACTTTTTTTGCCCCTTCATTTAAGAAATCGTTTCCGAAGTTTTGTTGTTAGATTTGTTGTATAGAAGTAATTTGCTGTTATATAATCACTTTTTGGTAATCAGACAGGAATTTCAAACTTTGATTTTATTTTGACAAAAATTGGCTATTAGACATTTCGAAAAATTAACCTTTAAATTTTAGATATCCCATTCAAACTTCTAATATATTCTACAGGAAAGTGAGACATTGAACGAGTCATTGCATTTTCTTAGCATTTCTATGCGTATTTCTCTCACGAATAAAATAATTCATTACACTTCCAGTAAGAAATGTGGATTTTGGACAATGTATTGTTAATTGGAACAAAGTTTCAAGTCTTAATTTCTCTACTTCTTATTTCAGAAACACAAACCAAATTAAAAACTCTTACAGGTTATACAGTCCGCAATGTATGCAATTTAGGGGGAATGTTTGGACGCTACCGTGACAAAAAGTACAGTTCTAATGTTGTAAGCTATCGTTAGCAAGGGGCATCATTACATTACTTTTAGAACAATTGATTCAAATACCGCCCAGAAGTGATGGATATTTTCAATGTTTTATGAACTAACATTCTAAGCTACACACGTCTTTTTTTAATGTCATGATACTCAAAGAAGTGTCGGGGAGTACAAGAAACTAGTTTACACTGAAAACATGCAAAAGGTTCCAGCTTTACAGGAGTTTTGGTAATGGCCGTAAGTAGGGTTGTCACCTTGCCAATTCCAGAAAACCGGAGACCGCTGCGACCGGGGGGGGGGGGG